CCAATTCATATCCCCCTTTCTAACAGCCATATTGTCTTATTAATTAATTATATTTGGCATTAAAAGAATAAGCCATTTCTCAATATGACTGCCGTATGGAATGCGCAGTAGATGACGGAAGAACGCATCTTATGTATTTCCAGCACGATAAGAAGTCTACTTGTGGATCTATGAATATGATCAACAGTCTATTTAAAAATCCGTGTTCACCTGTTTAATTTTCATCAGATCGCGGCCTCTCGATGCATAATCCGAAAACTACCGGCCGTGATAGCGCGGATACACGCGTACGTCAAATTTGCGGGTAGGATTACAGCGTACCGGGGCAGAGAATCGGCGAGTTTGTTGCTTTAAATTAAAATAATCTGTTTTCACGCGGCTGCCCCCTCTCGTATTGCAACGAACACCCGCAGCGAAAGTCGGTAATCGCATTAGCTCACTTTTGAACGCCCGTCCAATCCCTGCTGCCGTCCGTTAAATCAGAACCGAAACGCGTCACCGTTTGGGAATAATAAATTCCATGAAACCTAATGAAATCGGGCGTGATTTCCGCGACTTCGATTCGGGAGACCTTCCCTCTTCCGGGATCCGGAAATCGTGAAAATTTCTACCCCATTATCACAGGATTCATTCAATTAATTTTCCGTTGTTCAGAATTAATATAAAAGCAATTTCGATCTTGTAATTGCCGAAGAATTTAATGATTCAATATATAATAAATTAATTGGTCTTTATACAAATTTGATGTATATTAGAAAGCTTTTTTGGTTCATTTAAATATTGCAAATGGCGTAATATAAAAATTGCAGGAGCTCTCTGAATTTTAATAGAGATTCTACGTATCGCGTTTTGCTATCTGACGACAGATTTACAAGCGTTCCATTCATCTTCCTTTCTTTATTCACGTTTCCAGTGATCACTGTCCTCGTTAATCCATTAGAGAATCATGCATCACTACGTAACGGCGGCTCGCTCCGGTCGGTGGGAAGGAAATTAATTTTGCCGGGCGCGGAGAAAGCGGGAAGATAACGGTAGACAGGGAAACAATTCGTCCCGTGTCCCGGCATTGTTCGACAGGACGGGAAACACTTTTGTTTAAGCATCGTTGCGCGAACGCATATTTTTCACGATACGTTAAAAAGTAACGAACTGTGAAACAGCGGCGCTGGCCGCCCATTGTGCTACAGTGGCACCGTTAATACGGCTGCGAACACGCGAAAAATTCAAACAAGTCCGCATTGTTTTCACCGGTTACGCGAAATTGTTTCAAGCTTGCGCGTGCTCGCCGCTGCGCCGTGAAAGAGGGTCGAAGAAACAAAAAGCTTTGAGAGGAGAGAAAAAATATTCCGCTCGCGGAAGGGTCTATCGATTCTGCCTGAAAATTTGTTTCCCAAAACCGTGGGGAAACAAAGGGAATTCGGTTGCAACGATAATGTCAATACGGATACGAATAACATTTTTTTGGTGGGAATCGCTATGATTTATATGAAAAGAGCCCGGATATTTTAAATCACACGTTTCCAATTTTTCACTCGGGATTTACACGGCGGCCGGTCATTTAATAATTTCACAGAGAGATCGCGAGGCCACAGGAAAACGGGATGTATTGTTCCGGTTCTCGTTAAAACATCGCCACGGGTAGTTCCGCGCTCATTATTTCAAAACTGACGCGGGCCCATCACGACGGACGGTGTAAATATTTTATTGACCCGTCAAACCGAACGGCCGATATGAAATATCGGTCACAAATCTTTCGGGGATTAATAGCAACAATGGAAAAAATCAGATGCACCTAGTCTCCGGTTTTTCACGACAATGGAACACGCGTAACAATTTTCCCGATGAAAAGAACGGATTTGTAAACGTATTTTTAGGGCGGAAACCGATAACAAGCTTACATGTATCAAACTCCTTACCCCAGGACAAAATTTTATTTGCCTCGTTTTTCTTGTATCGAATTCGAGAATTTCTAAGCTCTTAATAGTTGACAATATGTACACGTAAATAATTTTCTTATTAATTAATCTGTTCCTAAAATAAATAGATAAATTGAAATATTGATGAGAAGAACATAACGGACCGAACGAAGGCCGCTGGTATCAAGATATCGGCCGGAACTTTTTTAAAAGGCGATGGCTCGCAGTCTGTCGAAAGTGCAACGGGGAAGGAAATCGTGACGCAGCTGGAGAGCTTTAGAGCCGGTTCGTGGCGAGACAAGTAGCAGGTGGCTGGCTAATGCCAGGAGTGGCATCGTGTAACGAACGCGGAAGAGAGGTGAACGGAAACGTGTGTACACGTTGGGGCGATTGTTGCTTACGTACCGGGGGCGAACGGACTAGATAACGCACGTCCCGCTCGTGCAATACAGCCACACTACACTACGTGGCTCTTTTAATTAAGTGGAGTCAGCTCGCAGCCAGGCTTGGGAAACAATTTATTCAGCGGGAATTATATTGGCTCGTCTACGTGTGGAACTCGAGGCGAAACTCCTACCGGACCTCTTTTAACGGGAGTGCTCTCTCCTTGTAATAAATGCAACCACTAGCTGGAATCGCTTTCGTTTCTTCCTGTAATGATCCAATGAAAGGATCAGCCGCGTTCCCTGTAGGCTCTTACATCCATAGTACTCACGGTTTAAAGATAAGCGTTTACGAGATTTGATAGTTTCCTACTGTGGCGAATCAATTCTTATCCGTGGTTGATGGATTCTCAGAGAGACTCTCATGATCATATGTTGAAATTAATTGATCGAAAATTGGAAACAGTTCGTAATAAATTATATTTCATTAATTTATACGAATTTTATATCACGTCATGAGTTGAGTTCTTTATCATCCAACGAATCAATAAATAGATAAAAAGAAATCACGAATAGAACTTTCAATGATTCTGATTAGTTTTATTCATGTTTGTTCATTACTAATTTTTGGCAGTAAGTAAATTTACTGTTAATTATTTACATGGACTGCCAAAAACAAAATGAGTACGATTTGTTCTATGAAGGTTCATCAATGTAATTTGTTATTTGACTGTTCATTAAATATGAGAACAGTCCTTTATGGAATTTGACATCGCGTTGCACGTCATTAGCCTTTTCAGGAGGAACTTCCAACGGCATTGTTGTCTGACACCAAAAGTGAGCCTCGCAGAATACGCGGAGGCACGGTGTGAGATAATTCGAGCTCTCTTGAACAATAAATCGTGCATTTGACGCGTTCTACGCGGAGCGCAGAAATTTAACTAATGTTTATTACCGGTTTTAATATAGCTCCGGCGTCTCCAACTGTCAGACCCATTGTTTTGCGCCTATCTTACGGTTCAACCCTTCTCGTAGAACGAACAGGTTTGCAAGGCATACGGAGAATTGAGCACAGCCGTCTGACGCCCATTATTTCTCATCGTTTAGCTACCTGTTAATTACTGCGTTTCCGTACATTTCTGGGAAAGAGTCCAAGTCGTCCATTCACGCGAACAAAGTTCAGCTTCTTATTAATCCTGCACCGACTGTCTCGGGTCACTAAATACAATATTTTCTTATCCCCTCGCTCCTCGTTTATGCTTCGTCTATTTCGAATACTTCGTGTCTAATAATTGTCTTCCGACGAACTTCGGAGATAACGATTTTTGTTCAAAATACAATTTCTCTGACAATTTGGACTTGGCAATGATTGATTTCCCTTGTAAAACTGTCATAATCCTAATCAAATTCTTCTTAAAGGGTATAATGAAAATTACGTTACGAATCTCTGCCAAAAATTTAAGACATGTAATAAAAAGCTTTCGTTTTTTTTATTACATCCGATTTAAAAGAATCTGTTTGCAGCAAACATTAACGATTAAATCTGTAAAAAAGTACATGTGCTCGTTACAAGCTCGCGTCTACTCATCGAGGATTCTGTTTGATCCCCAGCCATCGACGCAATCCTACTGGCCTCTTTCGCTGCTTTAAGGAAAATATTTGACCAGCTCTCTTCAATTTTATGGCGCACATCCAACGTCAACGTCGCTAAGACGTGTTCCATGATTGCTCAAAAGCGTCCTCGTCGAACGTCTCGTGGAAACAGAGTGCAAACAACCGCGTTCTCATCCGCTTTATTAAAAGAATGAATCTGAAGGAGAGAGAGCCCGCAACCGGTGCAACAGGACCTCCGCGCCGGTCATTTGATAAATTGTCGGCATCGAATTAAAGAATTAACGGTGGCCGGTAACGAGACTTCATTTTTCCGAACGAAAAGGTCACAGCAGTTTCGCGTTACTACGACTGCGCTTTTCATCTCGATAGAAGAACAACGGGGGAAATCGACTCGGAACGATAAAACAAATGCTCAGCTTAATTTTAAATGAGATTCGGTTAATGTAAACTTCGAAACGAAAGTAATTCGAAAGTTTTAAACGATGGATTCAGCCGGTTGATTAAATTTCCCCCGATCCCGTTCCGTTGTTTGCTCGCTCCTTTATTTATTACGCACCCGCATGTTTATATTGTAATTTCATTAAAAGAGCGCGAAATCCGAAACGGTTATATTGGAAACTGAAACTTGTTAACCAATCTCGATACAAAACAAACGTACGTAAACGTTATTGTGTATGTATACATATACATAGTTCTTTAAGGTTGTATGAACCGTAAGATCTCTGCCAAAAGTTTAAGACGTGTAATAAACGGCTCTGTCTAATATTTGAAGTAATGAACTTTTTCAACTTTAAAATATTCTTAAATCATGTATTGAAAATTATACAAAGTTATAAAATTCTGTCATTGATGCATTTATATTTTTTCATAAATGAGATCAAAACTCTGTCATTCGACATAAGAATTCAAGAGGTAATGACTTTCTTAATATCCTTGCAAAATTTCTAAAATTATGTACAGCATTTTACATTTATGTAATATCTAGTAATTGTTAAAATTTCAATGCTTTGTCATTGTTTTTATGTAAGGGTTCATACAACCTTAGAAGATTCAGTTTCAGTTTACTATAACAACGTAATTTGTCTACCTTCAGGTCACCGTGTTGGTCGTAGAACGTTGAAGGTGCGAGAGCAGCTTTCAGTCTTCGGTTTCTGTAGAAAATGAACATGATCGCCGCCAGAAGCATGATGATCACGGTAGTCAGAATTCCGATAACGAGGCCAACGAACTGCCTCGACTCTGGTTCCTTGCTTTTATCTGGAACTGACATATTAACGACATCATTCTTAAAAACTCAGGAACAATCAGTAAAAATGCCAATAGTGATTAATTAATCGATAAGATGAGAAACAAATTTGATACATAGAACTTGACGAGCAATCATTATAATTGCTTCACGTCATTTCGTGGCAGTCATCAACGTAATTATTTAACCATTTGGAGTATTGCATCCATGGTTATCTCTCTCCTTCTCTTTGATCAGATAAGATCTGTTCTCTTAACATCACAGCTCAACCAATTGATCTAACGAAGAGCCAAATATCCTTTGCAACGTGGCACAGAGGGACATTTGTATGAGAAGCACGCAATGCGCGCACCGCACGCACGTACGCACGTACGCACGCGTTTCCCTTTTGATTACCTAATACGCCAAAGTACACGACCCACCACGGATATTATCGCGAAGATCGCGTAGCTGGCATAATGCACGACCGTCCGATAATGATGATTACGTTCGTCGTAATTGGATCACGGCTGATCGCCGCTTTATCGATCCCTGTTTGCTTTTATTGCATGATCGAACGTCGGTCGTCTGTCATTCTACTGTCATTCCAATGACAGAATTATTCCTTCGCTAATGTCTTAGTAACATGGTGTCAATCTTATTGACGTAACGTACGCGAAATTCATTTAGGAAATATTAAAACGACATCATCGTTTTCTTTTTATACAAAAAGAAATCAATAAAAGGAAAGAAGATATTCTATTGAAAATATTTTCAACTATTCTCGATGAAACACGTCGCTTGTACGTAGGGAGGAGCGTTGTTTCATTATTGCCCGTTGCATCGTCTCATTCGAAAGAAATTTTCCAGCTCACGTTTCGCTTAAAATCGCTACGAACCAGTTTCGTTCCTCCTGGAACGTATCCGGATGCTGTAACGCGAATGCACCTAGAGAAAAGCGAGCATTATGCCCCCTCCCCGTAACGTTTCTTATCCACATCTATCGCGAGCCGAGAGTCGTTACGCAGGGAACAGAATATTGGTTTCATCGCGTGAAAGTCTGAATGTAACGAGCACACCGCGAATACGTATCGATTCGATGTAAAAAGCATTCAGTTTTCTCTCTGCGTCTGTTATTGAGTCATCATTTATAACACTTCTAATAATTTGTTATTCGTCTCGTTGTAACAAAAATTAAAGTGAAGGAATAATAATTTGAAATCATATAACAGTGTGGCAGTCTTGATAAAAAAAAAGATTCTACCGAACGCAAAACTAAATAGCGTTACAAAACATTAAGGAAACAATCGAATGGTTTAGCGGACAAAGTGACCGCACGAAAATGTCGTCGAGCACTCCGGAGTTTCTTTTAGAGCAAAGTGCTCCCTCGACGCCGACGGTAGTAAATGGCAAAAGAAATTAATTAGATTTCGCCCTCGGTCTCCGAGTGTGGTTAAACAAAAAGAGAACCGTGGCAACGTTATCGGTTTATTCGTATATCTTCACAAACGTCTTTCACGTGTTCGTAATTTATTTAAATTTCTAAACGACAGAATCTGGTATGACAGACTATGTGAATTTTTCAATTAATTCGATAGTAATTAGAATTCGACGAATCTCTGTATTTATTAATGACAGTCATTTAACCAGCAACCGAAGTGAAAAATATATTTACAAATAAAATTATAATAACAAAATAGAATTAAGTGATAGTCATCAGTTTTTGTAGAAGATATTAACTTTAACTTCTTGTTTAAGTTAATATCTATAGACGCCAAATATGCATAATTATTAATAGTAAAGTCATGGAAAATGATACTACCAGATTATGGAAAGAAACCTAAGTATGACAAGGAGTGAAATAAATTGCGAAATTTTTAATTCAATTAAAAGGACAGACTAGGCGTACTTAAAGCTTAGAACATGCAATTGGTAATCAATAAAATTAAAGGGTAAATGAGATTGAAATCCGAGTTGGTAGCTCACTCAGTCGATGGGTGAAAACGAGAAGAGAAAAATGGCTTTTGGTTCATCCGGGTGTCTCAATTCGTTTCCGAGATATGAGCTTCCGAAGTCTCGCCGTTTAAGCGACTGGCTAGAAATCCCGCCCCGCTTCTGTTCCTAGAATCATTTCCTGGAAACCCCTTCGCGACGTCGTCTGGCCGTCTGTGGGCTAGGTCAGTAACTGGGTCAAGGTGCGAGGAAGAGGTCCAAGCCGAATGAAAAGGACAGCGACAGAGACGTCGGACAAATTACGGGTTTCTTTACACGGTAATATTTCCGGAACTAGAAGTCGAATTGAGATAAATCAAGAGGCATTTTAAAGGGAAAGTTTTTCCGGTTAAAACCGTGTTTGGCTGAAGTCGTTATTTTTATTTATTACAGAGCTGTTGACGATTGAAGTTTTTTGTTTTAGTTCCACTGAGTTGCCTTTGACCGCCAACCGGGAATAGTCGTGAACACCTGGGAGACGTTACAGTGCATTACGAAAGAACGAGGAAGAAGGGAAAAGTGGAGAGGCGAGCAGCAACCTGAGTATAAACGTTTTAAGCAGGTTTACGGTGTTGTGCGCAATTTGACCGCTCGCGATCGTTTCGTTCAAAATCCACGCGAATTAGAAACGTTGAACGCATTCCGTGTACAGCTCTGAGTTACGCTAGCTCAGTCTTTGAGAATTAAAATCGTACGCCAGCTTTGGATTTAATTATTTAGCGTAACTAACCTGCTAATTAACTAACTAAACGAACTAACAAACTATTTTAATGGAATTCCTTGGTCGTATCGCACGGTTTGATCAAATTTTTCCAGAACTTTGTTACAGCCTGTGGGATGAACATCGGATCAGCGTCGAGGTACAAAAAACAGGAGAGAAAAATAGTGGAGGAAAAAACGAGCAACAGAAAGAAAAGGCTGTTCGTGATCGGCATAATAGTTTCGTGCAGTCTCGGAGCGCTCTGAAGCGAGGAAGAGAGAGAGAGAGAGAGAGAGGGGCGAAAGGGTGTGGAATAAGGAGGAGTGGAAATCGTGCGGAAAATTACGAAGGGGCTACACCCTTCGATGCAACAATAGCAGAAACCGTCCAAGGTTGGAAAGACTTACAGGCATTATCGTTGTTTTCCTCCTTATTAAAAGTGGCCTTCACTTCGTCCCTCTGCAGTGGACCCTCGTTATTCTGATACGGACTCCCGGTTGCCGTTACAATGCCACTCTTGTTCCTCGGCTCCTCATCGTCGGTGTTGTTCCATTCGGAGATTACTGCGCATCAGAGATGAAGATTAATTAAATTCGCTGTCCGTCGATCCAATCGGACGTTTATTAAATGCTGGACACTTTTCAATTCACGCCGCGAATCTAATTAATACACCCGATTACAGATTCGAGGTATAAAAATTAATATTTTCGATCAATTAACAGTTGGAAGTTTCATTAAGTCTCATACGTTTTTAATCTTTGCGAAATTTATTCATTTTACTAATTAAATGATAAATGAATTTCGACGCTTGGCATGTCCGTGAAATTTGAAGGGAATGTTTAAAATGCGGGATGAAATTGTGCCTCTTGGAAAGCCGGGAATCGAAGTTATCTCTCGCGAAAACGCGAATACCGAGAGAATGATTAACGACGGCCGCGCCTCACGGGAATAAAAGTTTTTGAGTGCGCCGAAACGACGCTTCACCAGTTAAGTTTCGTTTCTGGTACACGACTGAGTGTTCTGATTCCCGCAACGTGCCGCGGATACTTCCGGTTTTTGTGCGGCCGCGATGCTTTAGACTCGACCGCCGCGGAATAACCGGGGAGACCGCCTCTGAATATTTTATAAGCCACGAATATTTTGCGAATTAATGAGATTTTTTTTGCTCCTCCCTCTTCCCCCTCGAGCGACTCGGGCAGCTTTATTAAGAAGGTGTCGCGAGGAGATACGACTACATTTTATGGCAATTATTCAAATTTCAATGATCATGATTAGACCGTTGGCTTTTATGCAAAATGAAGTATTTAAGGTATCAATTAAAAAATGTTTTTAATTGGAATTTATTTTATCATCTGATCTTCCAGTCAGACAATCCTGTTACAAATGTATAAAATCTGTAATTTAATCATGATTATGCATTTTAAATTATGAAACATGAATATTAATAATGAATTTATGCGATGAAGTGCCTGAAGTGAAATATGTAAGTAGTCGAAAAGCCGGTATCAACGAATCCAACAAAATTTGATCACGTTTTCCTGTCATTTTTGTGGAACGAGAATTCATTGTCCCTTCGAATCGAGCACGTCCTGACGTATCATCAGCTGCGCACAGCTGCGTGATTATCTCTCATCTTTCCGAACGATTCTATCATCGCGGTTCGGGCGAGCGTGTCACCTAAAAATTGGAAATCGAATCGACCGCGGCGCCCACGTAAAAAGACTTCCGGAACCCATCCGTTTTCTCAATCCGAAAGTTCGCGATCCGAGAGACGTGCACTGGTCGTGCGTAAGTCTTCGCGTCAAGTTATTTCACATCGGTGATCCCTGTTCTGTTTCGCTTTAACAATTCATCCTCTTCCATCTGTACTTTTTCCCTGTCCACATCCACTTCTTCTCATGCAAAATACACAAACGTCTTTCCAAGAACAGATCACCTTATCCATCTCTATCCCTGTCTATACTTTCCCTTTTATCCTTCCACGCGAAGTACACGAACGTGTTTCCCGCGACAAGGAGATTCCTATTCTGTTTTCCTTGCCTGATTCGAAGATCACTTCGCTGAGCATGATCCATCGCGCCGCGAAATACAGCTGCAACTTGAGGAATCGGCCGGCGCGCGAATGAAGTTTTATGGTAACGTCGCGTGCCTGTTCCAACACTTGGTCCGGTATGTACGAGAAATGGACTGGCTCGCCGTTGAACTGGTTCCCACCGGCGCCGAGGTAAACCTTCGCGTACGAAAACACCTGAAAAGGAATTGTGCACGTGTGTGTGTGTGTGTAAAGAACACAACGGGGATGTTCAGGGATGAAGCGATTGTTTTTCGTGATATCTCTTTCTCTCTCTTATAATTTCGCCTTCTTTAGTTTACACTTTATTGTCTAAACTCTCCAAGTTTGCGTTCTCATTCAAACATATTTTCGTCGGGCTCTCTTGGAAATTTTATACAATGGACCCTTGATTTCTTGATTTTAAATCAGAGACATGAATTCTTTACTAGTTAGTAAAGAATTTAAATCTGAATTTGTAATAGTACTTGAAAATTTTTAGCGTTTGTTGTATGTACGCTGGTCGATAAGTATAATAACTGTGTGCGAATTCGCGGGGACAAATAAACGCGCGGAGCGAATGAAAAATTTGATACCGATGACAGGACGATTCCGCGGCTCGTTTTTCATTGTAAATAATGAAATTCGTTTATTACGGTCCGTTGAATTTGTCACGATTCTGCGGCGTACAATATCGCGAATCAAAATTTCAACGGCGTTGAGAGTTGTGGGCGGTTTCGTCGATTAGAATTTTTTTTTTTACACATTTAAACGAAATTCTCCCCTGCTGGCTCGTTAAGATAACGGAAATTCAATTTAGAAAAAACGTTCCGGGCGGGCGGATTTTCCCTTCCTTCTCTCTCCCTTATTATCGAAGCCCATCCACGAAGTTTAATAGATTATAACGAATTCATGGATCTCACCGAGAGTTTATACAGATTGAGCAAACATCGATCTCTCTATGGAGGATGGGATATAATGGGAATATTAATCAGAATAATCTGAGCTACCGTGTTTGAATACTCGCTCCATCCTACGCTGGTCCGCAAGTGGTTCTCAAGATATCGTGAGAAAATAAAATGAAACTGTTCATTTTTACCTGCACGTCCTTGGTGAAATAATTGTTCATGTGTAGGTGTATGGCAGTGAAGTTTCGCAAATAGTCGAACTCGAAAGTTACTTCCACGGGACGTCCCAGCATGCTTGGAGTGTCATTCCTCCAGCCGACCCATTCGTATCCTTGAATAAAAAAAAGATTAACGTTAATTTATTTCTATACATCAAAGTTTTATAAATATTGAAATAGTATTGTTTGGTAAGCGAGTAACGACGGGAAATCCGCGACTAATACGAGTTTAACAAGATTCACGATCCGCTGCAACACAATTGAACACGATCGACTATTTTTCCAGTTCAATATAAGAATTTAAATCTGAATTTGTAATAGTACTTGAAAATTTTTAGCGTTTGTTGTATGTACGCTGGTCGATAAGTATAATAACTGTGTGCGAATTCGCGGGGACAAATAAACGCGCGGAGCGAATGAAAAATTTGATACCGATGACAGGACGATTCCGCGGCTCGTTTTTCATTGTAAATAATGAAATTCGTTTATTACGGTCCGTTGAATTTGTCACGATTCTGCGGCGTACAATATCGCGAATCAAAATTTCAACGGCGTTGAGAGTTGTGGGCGGTTTCGTCGATTAGAATTTTTTTTTTTACACATTTAAACGAAATTCTCCCCTGCTGGCTCGTTAAGATAACGGAAATTCAATTTAGAAAAAACGTTCCGGGCGGGCGGATTTTCCCTTCCTTCTCTCTCCCTTATTATCGAAGCCCATCCACGAAGTTTAATAGATTATAACGAATTCATGGATCTCACCGAGAGTTTATACAGATTGAGCAAACATCGATCTCTCTATGGAGGATGGGATATAATGGGAATATTAATCAGAATAATCTGAGCTACCGTGTTTGAATACTCGCTCCATCCTACGCTGGTCCGCAAGTGGTTCTCAAGATATCGTGAGAAAATAAAATGAAACTGTTCATTTTTACCTGCACGTCCTTGGTGAAATAATTGTTCATGTGTAGGTGTATGGCAGTGAAGTTTCGCAAATAGTCGAACTCGAAAGTTACTTCCACGGGACGTCCCAGCATGCTTGGAGTGTCATTCCTCCAGCCGACCCATTCGTATCCTTGAATAAAAAAAGATTAACGTTAATTTATTTCTATACATCGAAGTTTTATAAATATTGAAATAGTATTGTTTGGTAAGCGAGTAACGATGGGAAATCCGCGACTAATACGAGTTTAACAAGATTCACGATCCGCTGCAACACAATTGAACACGATCGACTATTTTTCCAGTTCAATACAAGCTGTAACTTTTTCCTCTCGATCCTCTCTTTTTTTTTTTTTGTTAACAATATGAACGCGAATCGTTCGAACGTTCGCAGTCCGGCAGTCTGAAAAATGACATGTTACGTCGTCGGATCCGATTACCCAATCCACACTCTGCGCCTACCCAGCTACCGACGAACGGGGCAATAAAATCTGTAACATAAATAATCCGCGAATCGGGCGTGTGACGCGAAATTTGTTTGCCGGCCTGGCCCGGTTCCTATCAAACGAACAAATTGTTTCAACGCGAATGCATTTGTCGCAGATTGCGCGATGTCCTTTCAGTTCCCTGGCCCCGCCGGCAACCCATTTCCACCCCGACGACAACTGCTCTTTGAATGTTGCCTTAATTAATTGCCAGCTGAATACGAAATAGTAGGCGTTCCGCGCAATCTGCGACCGCATTGAACCGCAGTCTTCAAATGAATTCAAACGGACAAGATTGTTCCAGTCATTGTCTTATGAACGACCATTAATTGTTTTCTTCCTTTTCAAGTATCCTGAAATTTTTTTAAATATAATATATTGTGCCATTAATTATATAAATTTGATACTTATTTTTATTATAATTAATCTGATAGCCATTCTATTGATATTATTAATATATGTTATTCTAAACAATTCGTCATGGCAGTTTTTAATTAATATTTTCATGTAAATGGACGTTTCATATCTGAGTTTTAAAGCCGCGTGACCTATCGAATATCAAACGAAAATCCGGAATAAAAAAACTAGCAAGAGTTAAAAGAAAAATACGTGGCTCTTAAAAGCTCGCTAACAAGTCTACTAGAACGCCTCGCACGAAACGTCGTTGCCTTCACCGCTCTCCCAACTTTTCCCTCTGAGCAGAGCGAGTTACCTTACCCTCCTGTAGCCACCGATTAGCAATCAGCCTTCGTGACTCGTCGAAAGCCCGGCTCAAGTTTCAGCAGCAGGCAAACGTAACCGGGCAGCAACTGAACTGAAAGCAACTCCTAACTTATATATTCACCGGTTCGCCATTGCCACTAATTTCCCCGGAATTATCTCGGATCCTGGCCCGTCATCGATCCCAGAAAAAGAACGCGCAGACTAAATATTAATTACGCCTCGTATTTATACTTGGTAGCCCGTTTTTCCGTTTTCGAATCTGGTTTCGAGCTGATTTAATATGTGTTAGTGAATGAGCGCCGCAAGACTATAATGAAACGAGATCTCGGGAAATGGAAAAGTTACGCGTTGTGGCCACGGTTATTGCATGCCATAGTCGAATACCGCGAACACAGCATCGTTCAAAAATCTTACACTATCTGTATTCGCAATCTCCAAATAAATAAATGAAATATTAGTGAAAAATACTTTTTTTTATATATTATTGATTACAACTACAATTCTAATCTAATCTGAATGCATGTAACGTGCAAAAATGCAAACATAGTATACATTGTCTTTGAATGGTAAAAAGAAACTCAACCTGCATTTCATTCTTTAAATTGATATCATAAAGATCTATAATATGCATATAAAATCTTTTAAATCATGCGACAGAGCTTGCATCCGAGTAGGAATGAAAATTTTTGGCGGATGCTGTACAGATTTCCGTAGGGCGCGGATTGAAAATGGACTGGAATAACCCTAAAGCTGGCCGCGGCGCGTTTTTCCAAACCAGGCTCCTCTCGTTACTTTTCGCGGTCCGCTTTCGAAATTCTGCTTTTAACCAGAACCGCCGGCTGTGGTTTCCTGGTCGAAGTTCCGTCCGCGCGCGATTTCGCAAATTTCCGCGCCAGTTCGCCCGAATGAACACCGCGAAAAGAAGTTTTCCGTGAATGAATCCACGAAAATTCCCAGAAAAGGGTGACTCAATCCTTTTTTAAAAATATTTTGTGAAATACTGTATTTCAGTTTTGTTTTACCATTGTTACAATGGAAAGAATCGAATCTGGGTAAATCTAATTCAGGCTTGGGTGACAAATGGTTGATTCATACTACTCAAGAATCAAATGTCGCGTGCTGCTGACTGTTGAGTCAGTGAGAAAAATTGTATAAAAATTAGAAAAAACTGAATGAAATTGAATAAGAAAATTGAATGTGGATAGGCCTAATTCAGGCTTGTATGAGAAATGATTGATACTACTGAAGAATTATCTACCTCTTGATACTGATGTGGAATTTATAGCTTTGTGCCATTACTATTGCACCATAGAGGAAAATAAAATGAGGATGGATCTGATTTTGTTTAAATTCTTCATATGACAAATGATTGACTTAATTATCTCTTAATACTGATTGATTATGATTTTGTACACGCTTTAGGCATTCAACTATTTTCGCTATTCGGGTCTTAGCTATTTCTCGTTCTTTGAACGGCGCACTGAACCCATGCAACAGCGTTATATCGCTCTGATCTGTCCGCCTTCGTATAAACCCGACCCTTAATATCGTCCCTCGAGTAAATAGTTTCCAGTTTCCTGTCGTCGCCGCCTTCGGCTGCTATCTACCATCAATTCTGAACATTCAGAAGGGTCGTAAGATAACCGTTCCGTCTCCGTGCCCGTGAATATGTCGCACACCCTGCATCTTGATGATTTTCTCACTTAAACCGTCTTGAGACGGCTTGAAACTATGTGACGTGTAAGAAATTCTTCACATCTCGCTTGTTATCGATTTCTAACGGCGATTTAAATAAAGCGAATCTCGTCGATTCGGTCAAGAATTTTTCAAGCACTGATTGAGCTATTTTAATCCAAGATTGGATAATCGATTTTCCTATGCAGTGCAAATAGGAAGGAACCTCGTTAGCAATTTTCACACTCCTCTTTATAGAAAGTATTTAATGGAGCGTCACGATTTGAAGAATCATCTCTAGAATTATTTATAACAGAATCTCGATAATGAATTTCAGTTTTCGATCATTTTGACGATGTTACATAAGCCTCGTTGCGAACCATTGACCAAGAAAATTTATTAACAAGCTAAAGATCTCAGGCATCTCCACTCCGGGAAGCGTAGGAGTTTGTAACTATAGTAGAGTAGCAGACTCATCGCCGATATTGGAATCAAGCAACGGTCCTTATCCCCGTCTCAACGTTCACCAAACTGCAATTTCAAAGTTATTACCTAATGACCTAATTACTTATTGCTCTCGCGCTGACGAGCCGTTTCCTGTTGATACTCCGATCGCACCTGGTTACTCGATCCCGGTATTCTTGCATACCATCGTGGAAACTTATTAACGAGAACGTAACCAGCAGCCAACTTATGAGAGGATAGAGATACGGGAGAATAAAATATATTCACGAGCTTCACGGAATAAAATCGAGATTCAACTGTACAGAAGGAGAGCTGTCGGTTCTTTTTGATTCGAGAGAGAAAGGGAGAGAGGTTTAAACAGAGAATACAGGGCCGCACGCAGCCTCGACGGGTTTAAAACTTTAAGAAGCTGAAAGTACGTACGCCCGGTCTGTCCCGTGGCGTAAATGGAAAGACACAAATGTATCCTGGGAGCCGGTAAACAGCAGTGTGGCTTGCAGTCTAGCCCGCGGTTCAATATAAATGTAAATTGGAACAGATTCGAGTGCGCCGCGGAACACGATCGCCTCCGGGAGAGTCCGAGCATCCTAGCCAGCTTTCTGGAATTCTCTTATCGCCCACCCGCTGGCCTACACCTGGAATCGACGCCCAGAAAATCTTATTCACCCTAGAACGACCGCCTATTCTATACAACACGATTGTTCGTAACCCTTTATTAAAATGCACCATTCAGATATCTCATTTCGGACGGGAGGACAAGGGAAGATAGCGGTAGAAACTTTTTTTAATCCTCGATGCACCTATGATACTAGATTTGACTCTATTTATTCAAATCTGATTGCAATTAGTTTACGCCGAATAATTTTAAATAAAAAATTACAGCAGCCTTCTTTATTACTGCCTAATTTAAATGTGGCCTTTAGTGGTAAGAAGGTTCCCCACCTCTGGCATAGGGTAAGCCAGAGAACGTAGAACCGTGGACGGTTCTATCGCGGTAATCTGGACACGATCTGGTCGGCCTAATCTCGTTCCGGCACGAAGCTCACCTTTCCCGTTACCGCTGACGTCCAATCTGAAGTTGTCAGGACCCTTTTGCCCGTCGACAAGTTGACCGAGTCCCCCGGAGAGGTAACCCGCTTCTTCCCTGCCGTCGTACGTCCTGTCGGAAAGGTCAACCTCCGAACCCCTCTTAATTCCTTGGGGCATGGAATACGACACCAAGCCCTCTGTAACACCGGGAAGCAGAAAGGGTACCATAGTAGCGACGTCCAGTGGTGGTGCAATGCTCGTGAACGATGCATCATCCGCGGCGATGAGACGGACATTTTATTCCTGACAACCATACGTGATAAGATTGCGCGCGCCCGTCGGACGAACGAAACGCGACCCGAATGTTTTAACCGTCTAAACTGCGCCGCGGTGGTCGTTATCTCCCCTGCTTGTTACCCCCGACCTGGTTGTTTAGAATTTAAAATAGCACCGGTTGTTAACTCTCTTTCCGATGTGCATTTTTCACGCGACCGAACAAGATATTTTCTCGCGGATAGACGTCTCCGTTGCACGACAATCTTAATTGAAATAATAATCCTTAGACCGCGGACAGTATCTAATGCATATTGCAATTTTTAAATGATAAAAAAAATATATTTATTTTTAGTTTTTGCAGTCCAATAATCACCTTCTATTTTAAAACTGAATGTCATTTGAATAAAACTTTCATTAGATTAAAACAAGACTGACGAATTTCGATTGTAAAGGGTCTTAAACTCTTGCCGCGTCTCGAGCTTTTATGTAGATCTTCAGGGAACGGGCGTAATTTAATCATCGCGGCTCTTCATCAATATGTCAGGGAAGCTGACGTTCGTTGAAATTCTGTCGCTTATTGGAGCGATAAGGACGGAAAAATGATTTTTATTCGACGACGGAAGCACTCGTTGCTTCCCAACTGACAGCCGTCAAGAAGAAGCTGAGAAACAAATTTCGACAGTAGCACGGCGAAAAATAACTGAATGCATTCTTAATGCTGCTCGTCTGATGACAATAAATAACAAATTTATCCGATATCCACCGGGTGGGTATTAAAAGCACAAGTCATTAAACTTTTTGCGCTGATGGACAAGAACGACGGGCCACGTGTTCATTGACTAAGCAAACACTCAGGTAAATTTGACGACGATTTCAATTCAATTATACTGCTCACATCGTAATAAAAGAAACAAAACATCGTTTTGAATAAAAAATGTTCACTCACCAGTCCATGGACAGCCATAAAGCTCCACTCTTAGGCATACAGTGCGTATATGGGATGTGTAAGGGATGAAACGAATTTTCGTTGCCACGATCGCTGGGTCGAAGATCTGTTCCTTCTCCGAATATGGATTATTGTTGCCTGCCAGAAGCTGCAAGAAGAAAATGTTGTTCACATTATTTATCAAATATACTTAAGAATTTGTCTATTCATATCATTAAAAGTCATGAAATATAAGAATAAAAAAATGATACATATGCGTGTATAAATATACATAGAATTGACGTATGAACTGAATTTGAGAGACCAGATTTATTGAGTAAATCTGGCACATAAAAACGGGAGAAGAACAGGAGTGCACGTTGGATGACGATGGTTTAGTCAAGCTCGCCGGAGATGGACGGAGCATCGAACGGGTATTGGAACAGTGTTTACAGCGTTAAGAACGAATCTCACGGCCTCGCGAGCACCATTTTCCGGATCCGATTAGTAAACAACAGCTCGGCTCTTCTAAATGTAAATGCCGGCGTTATATCTGGACAGAGTGGTGGCGAGGTTGCCTTCGTTTCACCCGTTTCTTTCGTTCAGCTGACAGCCCGGCAAAATATTTTCTATAGCGTCTTCTCTAGTGACAGAATTTACTTACAAACTTTATTACTGTTACGACGGGGTCAAGTGGATTATGAAGTAATAAAATAATACTGTTTTTGATTCAGAGCTTTCCTTCCCTATTTATAAAGCTCCGAACACTATAGAGTTTTATATGAAACAAAACATTGAAGATAAAAAATGGATAACGTGTTTTAAATTTCATTTATCATTTAAACATTGCAACATGCAACTCACCTTTTGATATTACGATATTTATATTTTCTGAATATCTAACTTTGTCATGAATGCATTAAATTCGCAATGTAGTTATGATATCGTGATTTGCCGAAGAGGCGAGGTGAGAACAAGCCAGTAACTCCGATTAATGCTCGAACGCTTCGTTTGTCTTTTCGCATGGATTAGAATTTCTGACAGGGTCCGATCTGCTATTCGATCCGAAAAATACGATCCTCGCAATCTGATCCGTCTGAATACGTTTCCCTGGCCGCGAAAACCAAGGCGGGACGATTGTATATTATCCAGGGAGAAACGTAACGGGATACAGTATATGAATATTCGTTCCAGCTTTGATCTGCCATTTTGCACCGCGACTGCACGGTGTTGATTTAATGTGATCCCGTTGTGATACTTCTACTGACAGAAGAAAGAGAAATTCGATATTCACCCTGTAAGATGTATACCCTTATCCAAATGGTTAAAAATATTTCCCAATTTTGAAATTTCATCTGTACACAACGCAGCAAATCAAGTGTCTCATGTAAATTACACAACTGTGAAAGTACAAATTAAATGAGATTCTTACCCCTAAACGATTGAACATGAAACATGTAATTTTTTTTCATTATGGAACTACCACCAAATTTAACAATCATGATCAAGAAAGAGAAACGTGAACGGGGTTAATCTAGTACTTTGAACTTCAGCGTTCGGAATAACGTGAGATTCCTGTTTCACCTTGTTTCGTCAATCTCCGTTTCTCACGACGATGAATATTTCAAGCGTTTCGGAAAATCGAGCTACCTCGCCGTGTATCAATAACGGGGCGGCGAGATATCGATAGAAGTCGGTCGCGAGTCGGATGATACAGTTTCGGTGTCTGTTGAAAGCCGATTTTCGTCGAGATTTTTCACACGGATCGAACAGTCCCCGGCGCATCGTAGCGTCCTGATATATTAAATGGATCCGTGCCGTTTCCATGAAACCCGACGATGGAACACTTCTTCCACGGTCTCCATCGAGAACGAGCAGCAGAATTTTCATGCCGTTTTATCCGTATCGTGTCCGACCATCGATGACGAAGTCGCGTCCCTCTAGCTCTGACCGGATGCAGTGAAAAAGGACATCAGGGCCATACACTGAACCAAAACCGTTCCACCACGACGGAATCCAATAAATATCTTATTATCGTTTTTCACCGATTCATCCAACAGACGATAAAAAATTCTCTCTTCCTAAGATAATCAAATTTTATTGTGTCTGATTAAAAGATAAACTTGGAATTTCGATATCGATCCCCATCTTTCTTAATTGATAACGAATTCCTCAGCGAAAATTTCAGCTCGGGAGGATATTAAGTACGACGTTGAAAGATTTCATAATAGGATGTAAACGAGTATTAAAAATACCGTGGGAGAGATATTCGATGTGGATAACTGAAGGTTCGACGAACGCGGTGTCCACGACACGGGGTCATGGGATCCAATATCGTGGCGCACCGGCTCGCAGAAGCCGATACCGGCTAGGCTCATGGGATCCGATAACGATGACTCTCTGTTTGAGAATAGATTTTAACGATCTCGGGGTCGTGAACTTAGCAGACGGAGAGCGAATCAAGTCTACATTGATAAGTCCTAAAAGACATTGTGAAACGTATAACCAAATTATTAAATGAAAGTTGTCTATATTTATATTTGAAGTACAATTTTACTGAAACAATTCACGATTTACTGTATGACATTATATAATTGATAGACTGCGGATTTTTATGCAAAATAAAATTCAGAAGAGAGAATTGAAGAGAAGATATGGTTTGCATTTATGAATTAAATAGCATACATTTTGTTTCCAATATTTTCTATGATTTCGCGTATTGATTCGACTAATCGAAATTCAACACACATGTCTCCCATAAATGCATAATAATACACGGTTTATTCAATGATTTAATAAAATCTTTCAATTGATGATTACTAATTAGAAATATTTTTCAGATTAATTAATGCCTGATAAACAGTGATAAGTGTCAAATAGTTAAAAACCCTTTTAGGCCAGGCTATCGGTAGTGAATGCTGTTTTCATCAAGGCCAGAGTAACCAGAGACACGGTGCGATAGCCACGAATGAATCGGTTATTGAATAGGCAGTGTACGTAGCAAGCAGCCACATTGCTTTGACGCGAACTTAATGCAGCAAAGGGTATAGAATAGGCGGCTGTAAGTGGGCTAACAGCGAGTTGTGAACGGCACGCAAATGGAACGCGCCCACTGAAATCGTTGCGCGTAGCAAGAGGCCCGAGATGGACAACCGGTTATATCGGCCACCAGCTTGGGAATGACCAACCGTGGATGCATTACAAGTGCAACTGCGACTGGAATTGGAGCTAGTAGGAATACAGGCCCGGCTCGGATGTATATACGCGATAGGAATAATTAATACACCCATAAACAGGCGGAATAGGACGGAAGGACGATATCTGGATATCGCCCTACCGACACATAAAATTGATATCCGTGCTACAAGGATCTACTCTGAAGCGAGCCCATACATCTGATGACTCAGATAGATTGCTCCTACACTCCCATTCACAAATCGAAGAACACGTTTTAAAACGAATAATACTGCAACGACATTAACTAATACTTGTGATATTCTAGTGATCATAAAATTAATATACATCATGTGTAAGATTTTTTACCACCACAGATTCATTGTACTCTTTACTGCTTGCGACTATTCATTGCGATTATGCATTTTGTCGTGGCCCAGTACTTTATCGTCTCATAAATTCAATGGGGAAATGAAATTCACGACCTGTTAGATCTCTTAGTCTACCAGATTGTGTTTGACAAATATTTCCCGAGGTATATAGTACCTGCAGTCAAGATCAAACTGTGTACATTATTGTATCCAAGATTGACTCGAATAAAAATATGTTCTTCTTATCGTCGCACTCGAGATTGTGAAAGGACCGTCGTCGCGTCGGCTGGCTCGATCGATAGAAGTATAGAGGTTTTTTATCAGGTCGTAGCAGAAGACAGAGGATCAGGAAAGTTTCGGCGGTGCGTCCAGGATTTTATTAGCTACACGCTACCACGGTAAGGCGCAACGTCGGCAGCTTGGTATTTCCCTTATTTACAGTAACTCAACTTTTATCCCCTTTCGGTGAGAAAATCTGGTGTAATAAACTAGATGCATTCGGTGAAATCGCCCCAACGATATTTGTATAATCAGATGACAAAATATGAAACGGACAATTTTTTAAATCCCGTTAGCTCCGCAACGAAATTACTAAAAGTACGAAAGGAATTGAACTGAATATTTAATATCACGTTTCTGCTTTGAAACGAGCAAGGATCAATTTGCAGCGCGCAACATCGTCAGGAAACTGTTCCGGCGCGCGTCATCAACTTTTTCGAGGCATTCCGAGCGTTTAAACCAGAAGAGGGAAGAAAATTGGAATTGTTCTGGGTTGAGGCGATGTACTGATGGAATTAAAGCCACCGTCTTCCGGCGAGTTTCATTATCCCCGCACGGGGTTAGGAGGTCGGGGCCCAGGTAAACCGAGCAGGTGGTAACGCTCGTCTCCTTAAGTCGAAAAACCCGGGAACGAGCTTACGCGGCGCGCGTCCCATTTCCGTCTCGGTTCTCGCGGGCGTGTAGGCAATTACTTTCCAGGAGCAATGCGCCGTAAAGGAGCACGCTTCTAATCTGTTTGCGGCTAACCCTCGGATTCCCGCTAATGAAGAACTGTTTAATTCTAACGCGGTTAATCTCGCCGCGTGGTCGAAATTGCGGTTCCGTTCTCTTAATATCGTTTGAGGGACTTTCGACGGACGGGAAGCAATAACGGGTTCTCTACACGCTCCACTTGGGATTAATAGCGCGTCGAGTTTGAGTTACGAAGTGGTACCCGTTTTTCGAGGTGTAGTTTCACGCTTAATAAAGAGTACTTTGTACCGCGTAGGACAAAGGAGAAATTCTATGAAACATGATTAACGTATGATTCCGTTGTCTTCAGAACAATGTGAATATAAAATTCTACTTCTATTTGCCCAGATTATTAAAACATACTTTACATTTCTGTTCAATAAATTGCACACTCATATTTGATATGAAGTTTTCATTAATAAAGCCGAACTTCCACTATGCGCAGTAAATTCAAACCTTCATAGCAGGGAATACTTTAAACTGTATAATGGTATGTTCGAAAAAGGGAAGAGTTCTTCTTTAATTTCAGTGGAAGGAAGTCTCCATCGAGTTAATGTTCATTAACGAGCTCGGTCGTTAGACTGTTGCTCGACGTAAGGCGAAAATATTCAAC